CTCTCTCTCTTCTTCTCTCTCTCTCTCTCTCTCTCTCTCTCTCTCTCTCTTTCTCTCTCGATTTCTCGGTGCCACAGAAGAGGCGAGTACCAGCGCGTTCCGCTTTTGCAAGGTATTTAAGAGATCCCTCTGTCGCGCTTCCGTAACGGGGAGGGATCTTGCCTCCGCCTCTTCCTTCGTCGAGAGGCCGATCGGCGACGGTGCTGATGTATCGGAAAATGTCTGTATAATGGAATTGAGATGAGATCTAATAAAGAGAATTTAGCTATGGAACGATGATTTTTGTTGTCGAAGAGATAAACAAAATAAACTGCCTGCTATATTTACTTACACGTTGTTTCGGGACGTTGCTAATTTTGCAAGTTTAATATTTATAATTCATATCAAAAGTAGAAATTTCTAGATAAATTATGAATTGATCTGGCGTGGAGATAGAAATAAATTATAAAATACTTATTAGAATTTTAACTTTTCAAAAACTTAATAACTCAAATCATAAATACTGAACCATTTACGATCATCGCATCATCGATCTTAGAGAATTCTCATAATTTCGGTAAGAATTGAGATGATACAATATTCGCAATACAATAACAGCATTGGATGGACCAACCAGATTATTTTAAAATTTTTTAGCGGTTGGTTGACTATTGCTGCTCTCGAACACAACGCATTAACCCGTTGTACAATTTTGCGGTCGAAAAGCGCAATGCCTATCTAATGTCCGTCCGTTCAGCGTATAATCCAAGCGATGCATCGCGCGGGTATTTTCATATACAGGGTGTTTTAAAAAAAGGAATGCAATTATTCCAAAGCTAGTGCACTGGTCTAAATAAGCAAAAAATTCTTGATATAAAAGGGAATTAATAAAGTCCTAAAAATTATTGTCTATTGCGATATAAGCGATGATGAAGAGAGGATTCATGATCGATCTATTATCGGTGTAAAAGTTATAAGTACAACAAATCTGTTCTGTGTTTGAAATCGTATGATTTACTGATTTAAGAGCAATATTCGAAGTAGAATACGCATATCATTGAAAATAAAACAATTAAAGAAACACTTTGTCAATAAGAATTTTGTGCAAAATATGTTTAAAGTGTATATATTAACACATTTAATTTATTTTTATTAAAGAATATATCTCAAAATTCAAGACAATGGCAACAGATCGATGAAAGAAAAATTATATTACGGAAAGCGAGCAATAAGACACATTACAAAGTCTTCGCGTTTTCTCTCAATTATTGTAGAACGCAATTTATTCCTAAGTAGCATATTGTGCAAATAACTATTTAATCAAATTCTTTGCTTCTCTTTAACAATAGGAATATTTTATGCACTTACAGTGTTTAAATTAATTAAACGTATTTCATGAAAACTTCGTGGTTACATATGTAAGTTATAAAATCCTATTCAAGTATTATACTTATTTTAACATTTCATAATTAATTAACATTATTTTTAATACGTATTTTAGTCAAAATCATATCACTTCATAATTTTTAACACAGACAAAATTAAAAATACCTTTAATTTTAAATTTATCGTGTTTTTGATAAGTATTGGAGAAATAATCATATTTAGTCTTCCGCCTGATAGTTATTTATAGATTTTATTTCTATTACACAATAAATTTGGACGAATATAAATTTCTTCGTGACGAGCTGAAGTTTATGTTGAAGTGAAAGGGAAAAAAATCACATAGAACATCTGCTGTAGCGAGATAACAGAAAGTCATTTACCTTAAATCTCAATAAGTATCAGTTTTAGGACGATCTTTTTTATTATTTAAATGAATATTGTAAGCCTTAAAAGTTTATAATCCTTTTTGTAAAACACCCTATATACGTTCCGCAAAACGCATTCTGTAAACCGCGCGCGGTAGCGCAACACGTGGTAAAATGTTTCGCCATCGGTATCAAATAATCATGGCAAATCCGCATCGACCGCGCCGCGCGCGCGGCTGCTCGCTCGCTCGACTCTCGCGTTAATGCCTATATTTTACATTCAACCATATTTACTTCGAATAACGTTTGGTGGATAATAATGGACTGTCTGCCACTTGTTTTCGTTCGCCCGGTGGAATGATTACGCCGGGATACGCGTTGAAATTTTATACCTGAAAAGCGAGATACAATGAGAGAGAGAGAAAGACAAAGAGATTATGGAGCAAATGTACGCAAACGGATTTCCGAATACGTGTTGCAATATTTCCCCCTCCTAGTTGGCATAATAATATAACTGTGCCGAGTGCAAAATACAGAGAGATCGAAACCAAAAATAACGGCTAATCAATCCTGGCAAAAATAGAAACCGTAAGTAGTATGTACCGAGAATGTATGTAACGATCCCTTTTTAGTCTTCTCGTTAAGAATTTTACTCTGAATTATTATATGCGATCACGAAGAGACACATCGTTAAATTGCTAACTCGGAAATTAAAGTAACAAAAAGCTCGTGATTGCAAAGAGAATAGATTTCAAGCTGGTGCAAGATAAAAATATAAAAAGTGAAAACTTCTGCAATTGATCTTCAATCAATATTATCGATGCACGAAACTTCTTCGAAATTAGATGTAGCTTTCCAATTATTTTCATAAATAATTGAAGTATAATGGAGACAATTTTATATAAAAAATTACTATAATACGGCAGAGTAGTCGCGCACTATGAAGGAATTATAAGTTTAATACCCAGATTCGTGTATCTTAAAAACATCTAAAAGACGTCCAAAACGTTTGAAAAAAATGATGTCTTTTTGACATCATTCAGATGTTTTTAAGACATGCATGTTGTCTGAGTAGTCATTATTTTAAAAACAATAAAGGAACGTAGTTTTACACTTATTTTTGTTTATTTTAACTTGAGAATGGCATTTGTAGATCATAACTTTGCACTTACGAATTTTTACTGTGGCAAATGATAAAACTGTTAAAAATATTATAAATGTTATACTGCAAATTATCTTATAACGTCATTATGATCCACCAATAATACAAAAAATAATAAAATATGATTCAAGATTGTACTACAAATTAATATAAATTTTTTTCCGTGTATACTAAGCTTCATTAGTGAATTGTTTTGCGATTTTTCAAGCTGTCGATCGACGCGAGTGTTGAGTGACGATAATGACCGGCGATAAACGGCGATGATTGCGTCAATCGGTTTTTTTTCTTGCCTTCTAGAGGGTAAGAGTGGCGCCTTCTTGAGCGCATCTCAACAGCCTCTCGTCCAATTACCGCGTGATTGTTCGGTCATGGCAGATCTCTCGGGGGTGTAGATTAACTAACCGTCCGACCTCTGTAACGCACATACGCACGCACACGTATTCGGATTCACTGGCGCACCGAGAGGCACGCAATGCGCTGGACACGTCCATCAGCAACGCGGAAATATTTATGGCGGTTAATCGGACATGCCCGCGGCCCGTTAATTACGTAAGAAGATCAACGGATTACGACGCTGTGCTTTTCGCGAGAGATGTCTTCTCGGGACAGGTAGCGTCTTCTTATTGATGCGACTGCTTCGGAAAAACGTCGCTTTCTTTCGCCTTTCCTTTTGTTTTCCTTCGAAAATTGTTCGGTAATGTTTATGTAATCAATTGTAAGTTTAAGTTCTTTTTATTAAGTAAATATTTCTCAGAGAGAGTGCAAGAGAGCATATTTCGTATTATCTTATAGGTAGTAAATGGCAAATTTTCGAACAAAAGATAATGTATATATAATTGTGATTGATTTGCATAGAGTTTTGGAAACATGATTTTCTATGAAACATATGATATCGATCATGATTTAAATGTTGTTTTACAGAAAATTGCTTTACGGAAAATATGAACTTCGATCGCTCAAGATCAATATCAATCACAAAATTTAAAATAAAAATATTTTAAAATTAAATTTTGTTTTAATACAAAACTTAGCAATGCAATTGGTATTAATAATTCAGTGCACACCATCGCGAACTATAATTGTGACTCACGAAAAGATAGCCGTAGTTTGCAAGTTTTAAACTTTAGTTTAAACTCCTTCAATATTAGAGAATTATCGTTGGAAAAAAGTTGCAAAAATTTTTAGTTTTCTGGGAACTTTTCTCTTATAATATTTTAATTGATGAGCTTTACAATATATCGGATACACTGAGTTAAATCTAAATAAGTTGCCGAACTTTAAACTGGAAACCTTAAATCCTTAAATTAACAAATTGACGGAGTAATTATTCAACAATCGTCAAAATTGTGATTAAAATTGTAAAATACTTTTTTCAGATATATCTGATGTAGTTCGTCAAAATTTGAATGTGCACGTTTAATTTAATTTAATTTCCAGTTCGCCGTCTGAATTAATCACTAATCATTAGTCGACGTGTCTATTTATGTAAGAGATTAAGCTCGTGAATTCCGAGTGTGTGACAAAATCGACGTTCTCTAAAATGAACGCTTTATGGAATTCAAGAGCTGTATGCAGATATCAATTGATCGCTATGTTATGGGAAGAAGCGCTTATGGCAGAGCGTGAGGATACTTCGGCTTTTGTTCGGTGTTACGAGCAGCTTGTGTTTCACGTGTGAAACATATCATTTTGCGCACACGCGTAATGATAATACGCGTGTAAATGTATATGTAAAAACCGACGTGTGTAATACTAGGTTATCAATGCATCCCACTGTCCACAACACAAGATCCACTTATTTCTATGACTGCCTATGGAAAAAACGAACGAGCGGAACGTACGAGCCTTCGCAGCAGCTTTTAATGTCACGGCGTACGTAGTAGCGTCTTAAATACATATCTAATTCATCGTGTGCTGCTTTTAAGTACGACCGAGGGGAGTTGCTTCGATAATAAAGGAGTTATCGAAGCGACTGAATGATTGATTACTCTGCCTTATATGGTTCGGTTGTTTGAAAAATAATAATGATATCTCGTAAATTTTTGTGCGCTGAACTCAAATGCGGTTTCAAAAATTGTTTATTATGTTAGGTTTTTGAAAAAGTTTAAACAAAAAATGCAAAAAACAGCGATTTTAACAATGTTAGGTATATCAAACAAAATATTTTTGTTTTTATAATGAGCTCTCGATCGCGCGTTATCTTACGATTTTAAGCTAAACTGTAAATAGTATAAACTTTAGAAAATCGCAAAAATGTTATAACGTCTCTAAAGAGGAAATATTGTAATCAGCAATCTCAAAACTTCTTAGATTCTAAATTTGGTGTAAATCGAAAAAAATGTCCTCTTTTGCATTCCTTTTATCAACCCAGTACATAAAACTTTGAGAATTTCTCGACATAATTAAATGTTTCCCCTTTTATGTTTTGATATCGCACTGAATTGTCGAACGTAGTTTTACGACAATTGTTCATGTTCTTCGAACAATCAAAGTAATAAATAATTCATAGATAATGTTGATAGCTAATTGATTACATGATTGAACATGGATTGTTGCATTAAAATAAGTTGATTTTATACAGATCAAATATTAGGGAACACATTCATCGACTTTACATAATATTCTCCTTCTTTTTATCAATTGCCAACGTTGATTAGCCTATTAATTAGTCCAGTACAATGTCGCTAATCCGGCATTATTAAAAGCCAGGTAGTATCCGATTAATGAATTTACCGGACTATTGGACTATTTACCGGAGTGTAAGGAGATAAATTAAGTAATAAATAAAGTTGTGAAAGGAACTAGAGAAGCGACGATGTACTTTCGCGGAAATGTAAATAATGATGCATTGGCGATGGTTTAACGGTCACTAATAGATAAATTGCAACACGCATGTGTTAAAAATCCGATCTTTTGCTTTCCACCGTATCTTTCACAAAATAATGTCAAATTATTGGACATGCTAGTGTATTGAAGTGCCGGAACAGCGAGATTTTATTGTAATTGTTCTGTTGAATTGCAAAACATACTGCTAATTAGGTATTTTCATGTAAAAGTCGCTGCAATGTTTCGAATGTTGTGTCGAATTATAACTCGACTATAAATGAAATATAACTCGAATATTGACTTATCTGAACATTGACCAACATCGCTTGGGGTACGAGTCCATCGATACCAATACTATAAAATTGCGCCTTCATTGTTTCCTTATCGGAGTCCTATCTGTTCCGTGAGAATCTCCGCGGCCAGTCAGCCAGTCAGCTAGCCATACCAGAGGTTGCATCCCTACTCCACCAGTTGCACGGCTGGCTCGTGCCGAGCAGGGCATCGGCCGTTTAAACGAACACGCATGCGTTTGGTTTCAGAGAATGGGGTGAGGATGAAAACGTCGACCAATGAACACCGGGTGAGCGACGACCGCCCAGGCGGAGCATAGGGCATAAACGAGACGCGGCACAAGCAGTCTTCGCCAAACGGCGTCCGACAGCCGAGGGAGAAGCACGCTGTGCCATTTAGAGGGGAATCTTGACAAGAATTCCTGAAAAGATCAACGTTTCTTTCCTCGGTCCCCGTGACAGCTGCTCGACGTCGTCTCACACGGCTCACGCTTATCGACGTGGATTTGCGCGAAGTCATCACTTGGGCGCAATGGAAACACGAAGCAAGAAGCGAAAGGTGCAGCGTGAATTTTGAAGAAATTCAGTCAAAGCGGCAAGAAGAGAGGAAGAAGATGCTGCACGGCACTCTGCCGAGGGCCTTCCTGGCCCCGGGTCTCAGCTACATGAGCTACTACAGCGACGAGATTCATCCTGCTTACACCGCGCCGCCGACCACGTGGCACATCCCGATGGAAGATCCGTCCTCGCCGATCTACTCGCGGATCCCATCGGCGGAGCATCACGCGCCGTTGCAGCCCTGGGAGTCGTCAGGCTCCTCGACGCCGTGTCCGTTGGATTTGTCTCTCAAGTCGTTGCCGACGCCGAAAACGGAGGAAATGATCGAGGTGGGTGATGAGAAAGATCTCAGAATCCGCGAGGAGCTGCAGCCCCGACCCGAAAGTCGCAGAGACAGCGAGGACGATCAGCAGCTGGTGGTGGACGATCTCGACACCTTACGCAGCCCATCGGCGCAGAGCCACCCGAGTCACTACGAACGACTCGTTCTCGGCAAAGAATCACCTCGCTTCCACAACTCGATCGTCGACAAGATTCATCATCTGCCCGTGGAGGAGAGTACCCGGCTGCCGCCGTATCCCGGAACCGAGCTCGCGTCGAAATATCATCTGCACAATCAGAAACTTCTCCTGACGAGCCCGACGCATCTGCAGTCGATGCAAAATTATCAACAATTACTCTTAACGCCGCAGCAGCATCTTCAGAGCGTGGACGCGCCTATGACGCCACCCAGCACTCCGTCGCCGCCTCAGTGTCCCAGAAGGAGGATTCGCGAGGAGGATCTCATTTCGTCGTCCTCGGGTTCCGCTTCGGGCGCCTCCGCGTCGACCCCAAAGCAGACCAGCAACGAAAAAGCCGCTGTCCCGAGGCCGAAGAAGAAACACGCCAGGCGACTTAAATTCGACGAAGACACCAGTAGCCCGGTGTCGGGCACCGTGATTCTTGGCCCGGACGAGGCGGTGGTGACCGGCGACATCGATCCAGCCTTCAACATCGTCGAGGTCACGGAGGAGGCGCGCGCCGAACTGGCCAAAATTGAAAATCGGCTCGGGCCGTACCGGTGCAAGCTCTGCCGGCAGCTTCATGAGGACGCTTTCCAATTGGCACAGCATCGATGCTCCCGGATCGCTCACGTGGAATATCGTTGCCCCGAGTGCGACAAGCGGTTCTCCTGCCCGGCCAATCTAGCATCCCATCGACGCTGGCACAAGCCCCGGTTGCCCAACAACGACAGCTCCGCGTCCTCGGCGACATCGTCGTCCACCTCATCGACGTCGGGGACCAACGCCGAGATTCCCTGCACCAGGTGCGACGCCAAATTCACCAGGCAAGCCGCCCTGCGGAAGCACCTGGCCACTCAGCATCCTGAAACCAACAACAACATCAGCAGTAGCAGCAATAACAATAACACCACTGCCGATGGTGAAAAAGCCATCAGCAAACCAGACATAGCCCAGGTGGTTCCGACTAATCAGTTGACCAGCGAGATGACCTGACACCAATTTCCGGCGAGACCCCTGCCAAGACGACCCGGGCTCTACTGGAGATTCGGCCTCGACTTGTAAGAGACGCGGGATGATGCTTCTTTCAACCGATTGGATTTCTTCAATAATTTTGAGGCTGTCGTAAATGTGAGTGCACAATCAAAACACTCTGCATGTTTATTGTAGTATTAAGAAACAGAAAATACGAAAAGAGGAAAAGAAAAAAAATTAAAAAGAGAAAAAGCATTATTGTTATTGTTGTTAGGAAAAAATTCTTAATTTCTGATCAATAAATTTTCTAAATTAAATCAAATTTATTTTATTTTATGTTCTCTACTTTAATTTATTAAATTTTTAATTATCCAACTGCTTTGTTTTCTTCTATATCTAGTCATTTAATTTCTAATTATTCAGTTTTTAATTCTTTTAAATTTCACAAAATTCTTCTAGTTTGTTTTATTTGAATTTATTAAATCTTTTAGATTATTTAAATTTTTAATTATTAGATTTTTGGGTGTGAAAGAGATTCTAGTCACATTCATATTCTAGTCTTTGCACTTCTAGTCTTTACATTCGTATAATACTCTTTGTATTTATAATATATGATTTCTTTATATTTGCGTAAAGTTTTTTAATCAAATTTTCAATAATCAGTTTATCTTGTTTTATTTTATTAAATTTTTAATTATTTAATTTAGTTACGAAAATTCGTAATCTTTAGACGTTTTATCACAACTTTTAAACGATTTAGTATCAACAAATTCAATTTCTAGTCACTTTATTTCTATTCATTTAACTTATTAAATTGATTTTATTATTTTCGTAAATTTTCAATTAGTTTACGTTGCGAATTAGAAGGAGAATCTCTAAAAATTTAATAGTGTGTTAAAGAGTAGTAGAAAGGAGAAAGTAAAGAATGTATCGTCATTTCTAGTCATTTCTCTAGTCGTTATATCAGTCTATGCATTAATAACGCATATTACTTGTTTGAAAAAATTAATCCAGGTCTTGAAATTGATATAGGAATATAATTATACATGTTAAATTTAATTTCCGTTCTCTCAATCTGTCGAGTAGAACATACACTCCACTTACTTCTGAATCGACTTCTCGTAATCTATGTTTGCCAAAAATTTTTACTGCTCCATTTATCATATTTCAAAGCCTGAGACACTTCTTACATTCCGCGCAAATAATGGCGTGCTAATTTTACTCACAAAATTTACCGGGGAAAAACAGGGTTGCGCATTATCGTTGTATGAATCAAACTTGTTTAATGTATCTATCGCCGACGCGGATTGTCTTTCTATTTTTTTTCATCAATTATAATACGATCAATACATTGCAAATTCTTTAAATTCAGCTATTTTATAAAATTCTAGTCTTTTCATAAAGCAGCCTAGATTTTTTATAAAAAGACTGAGTTTATCAAAAAATTGCGACATATGGATTATATTGATAAAAAAAATTAGAAAATAAATATAAAATATAGATTTCATTCCTGTGTATTGTTAAGATCTTAGTATACGACTTATAAACTGATGCATTGATAATTGAAAGAATAGTAATCAGCAGCAAGTAAGATGCAAAAAAATTCTAAGATATGATACATTACATTTCACAATGTACCGATGCCAATGTTTAACACATTTCTTTTGCAACTGGATGATTATTATTTAAAAATATAAAGAGAAAAAATTATTTGGTTAAATTTAATAATTTTTTGGTAACATCTTATAATATTATATATAATTTAAGAGAATCTTTTAACTTTATCGTTTAAATCTTTAACAATCTGATGAATACGTAATAGCAAAATCGTTTACAGTTCTATAGCTAAATAATAACTCACGTTCCTATGTGTTCAATGTCGTTCTATCAAATCGATGCTTACTTATATCATATATGGCACTGGTAGAAAAAGTTGTATTAGAAAACATTCACCTGCAATCGACAGTTTATGTTAGTACACGAAAAACTTGCTAAAAGAAAGCAAATACTTGGTAAAATATAGCAAAGTTACGTGAATTCTTAAATATGCGTTAAATATAAACTTTACGTTATTTCATTGCTGATAGCTGACATATTGTGGATAATTCTCATCTCTTTCCTAAAACCCTCTTCCTTTTCTCTTCTGCTTTTTCCTTGATCTTTCTAATTGCTGATAAATGACATATAAGAATCGTAGCTGTAGATTCGAGATTATCGAGTGCGTTCTTGCCAAAGCATAGGAATTGTGGAGACCAAACGAAGATCTCTCTAATCAGTTTTAGTCAAGTACTTAACTTCTACTCGTAGAATCGTGCCATGTAATTAGAAATAATTTTTAGCGTTCTGTAAATTTCTGTAAAATTTAGGCGGTGTAATTGCGAGCGGATGAGAAGAAGCGATATTTCGTGCGATGTAAATCTGTATATAACACGCGCGATGTACATATAGCGAGGTGCGATTGGGCGGAGTGATAGGAATTATCTGATACCACGGTCGCAATTTGTCTAGCGTTAAGTTGGTGAGTTGATTTATGCCCGTTTCTACCAAAGAAGTTAATCTCTAAAAACATTCAGTTAATTTCATTTAACGCCATTCTTTGTGTAATCTTCACTGTTTGTTAATATTTTTGAAATTGCATTAGTCATTTAAATATTTTTATTTTATTTTCAATCGGTGTATTTATTTTAAATATATCAAAAAGACAAAAATAGCAAAATAATTTTTTAAATACATATATTTTATATATATAAAATATGTCAAACTAGAACATAAAAAATAAAAGGTTACAGAGATTAATGCCGTATATAATAATTTTTTATATAAAATTTTTTCCGTGTAGTAACGCAAACTTTTTATTTTTATAATTTTAACATAAAATTTTAATTTATAGTGTAATTCATGGATCTTATATTATGAGCTCTCAAACGTATCGCTAACTTATAATTAATAACACTTACATTATAATTTGTATGAAGCTATTAATTTTTTAAATTATCAATTATATCTTTTAAATAGTCAAGTAAAAGAATGATTTAAACAGACTTTTACTAATTAATTCTTGTTTTTGATTTGTTGAGAATATTTTCTATGATTGATATTTTCTTATTTTTTTCTTTATTATATTTTTTAATTTTCTGATTTTTTGCGTAAAATTCTAATCGTAGTATTCGCTATTTTCAAAATTTTATTTTTACTGGAAGAGTTGCAAATTCTTTTAGGCGAAATTCTTGTTTTTCTATCACACGTCAATTCTGGAATAGAAATTATTGTTTGCCTTCTTTAAACATATAAAAATATTGTAAAATTATCATTATGTAAAAATTTATAATTTGTGAAATTTACGAATACTAGCAGTCTGTCCATTATAATTTACCGTAACAAAAATTTATTCGTTATTTTCTTCTTTAATAGGAATTTCGATTAAAAATTTCTGTATTTCTTTCTGAATAGGAATCTATCGATCATTACTTGTCTTCATTTATTTCATTTAAATATTTCTTGCTAAAATAAATTTTAAATTTTATATCAAAATTAGTTTATAAAGTTTAAAATCTGTTTAAGAAATTCTTAAAATATATTATTATTTTAATATTTAATAAGAAATATATATATTATATCTTTAATCTTATATTATAGTTTATTTAATATATTGTCCATAACACTGCTTATATCTATTACTTGCATTGTTTCAATATAGTAGCGTTACAGGTATTTTAAAAAGTTATTTTCTGCATCTTTTCTAAAGCTATTCGGATAGCTCGTTTTCTTCTTTTATCATTTGTATTTTTGCAATCAGCAACAGTACACGCGTGTCACTCATTATTGATATTTCCTAATTATAATGCTTTTATACATTCTGTTTTTTTATAAGGTCAGTAGAAAATCTGAAAAAAAGATTATAGTATATGTAAATTATATAAAAAAAATTATACAAAATACATAACGATTGTTGCCGTAATACATATGGATGCGGTTAATGTTGTTCTGCTTGTCTCTTCTCCTTCTTTATTGCGGTCGTTCGGGAACTCTGTTGATCTTGACATCTTAATGGCTTAGTTTATACCAATCGTTTGATATCGCATATCAATTAGTATATTAATGGTAAATTCGTATTAAACGGTTTAATCTGAGTGATGTAAATGATTTATAGTATCAATAAAGTACCAATAGAGTATAAATAAAATGTCGAATTAAGCTAATTAGTTCGAATTTAGAACTAATATACTAATTGATATGCGGTATCAAACGATCGATGTATACTAAGCCAATAATGGCTCGAGTCCTGACTCGAGTTCCTTTTGTCGGCACCTGTTTCGGGAATCTTCTCCCTACTCCTTCCTTTCTCTTTCTGTCCTACTTCTGTTCCTTTCTATCTATTTCTTCTTCTTCTCTCTCTCCCTCTTTCTCACTCCCACTTTCTTGTATCTCTCTCTTTTTCTGTTTACTAGGAAAAAATTTTCTAAAAATCTTGTTTTTCCACATTTTTTCAACGGTCTAAAATTGAGCAAAACTGATATTGTTAATAAACACGAATAACACAGTTAGATAGAGCCCGAAATAAGCTTTTAAATGATATATAATCAACATATAATGAAATAATTTATTTTGAAATGCGTTTCATAAAATTGCAGACATCAAAACAATTATTTTTCGATCAACCTAATATATTAACCTAATATATCATTACAACCTAATTATACACCAAACGAATAACTGATTGCACTGATTGTATTCTGTTCCAAAATTTATCGTGCTTTGTTTTGCAGGTAATAAAACGGCGTAACCAATCAGATTTATTACCTCCCCTTGCAGTTGGCGTTATCTCTCTCGCCCTAACACTCCCTCTTATCTCTTACTTCCATGGTAGAAACGGTCATTATTCACAATTAGGCGAGTCTATTACATTCCTTAGAGAAAGCAATTGATTTCACAAACGTCGTTTAACTATGGTTCCTATTTTTAATATTAATTTATTATTAATCATTTATATTAAAAACTTCTGATTTTCTTTTGTAGTTCGTTCGTTCACTTGTAATTGATTATTATACAATATATATTAAAATTGCTTATAATTGTCTATTTTATTTTTAATACTGTTATCTGTAGTTTTTATTATTATTATAATTTTAACATTGGTTATATTATTGTATTATTATTTATCTTTTTTTATATATTTAAATCTTTTATAGCAATCAGTTTTGCGTTTATTTCAAATTTTCTGAAAACTATAGTTATTATAAAT